AGAGGGAGCAGGTCCCGATGATGAGGAACAGGGTCAGGTAGAAGATCCCCTTCTGTCGGGCCATCATCACCCTCCCATCGCAGCAGAAGGTGTTCTTCCCGGGAAGCTTCTCCCATTTTCGCACCTTTCGCGTTATCATCACCGCCGACATGGTGCCTTTTTTATATAATCTTCTATAAACTGGAACAAATCGATTTAAATAGTGATGTTCGGCCAAAGACAAGCAGGTTGATTGGATGTTAAACCCTTCCTCTGCATGTTTTCCCAACAGGATGGTCGGTGTCAAATCATTGCTGCTTCCTGCTCCATCTGACTGCAGCGCGTTTTTTATTCCCACAGCCCCGCTGCGCTGCGCTCCTCAGCCAGCTCTTTAATCCCTCCACGGTCCGCTCACAGCTGCAGATGATTAGAAATCCATCCGAACGACGCGACAGATGTTTCCCACTAAAAGAAAAAGAAATCCACTCGTGTCTGTGGCAGAGCGGACCTTGACCCTTTGAATTTCATATCATCAAGATAGAAAAATCATAAAGGAGCGCGCAGGAGTGAAACAGCCGCTCTGCAATCATAGATCCTGGAATGAGACCACCCTGGAGTCAGATCAACCATAAAAAATAATCTAAAAAAAAAAAAAAAGAAAGAATGATCGCCTTTTTGGGTCAGAAATGCGTTACTGTGCGGGATGAGCTTTTCTCCCTGCAGGATGAGCTCCTGGTTTTAGTCAATGGCAGCAGGAAACACGCCTAGATTGAAATGTTTCATCTTAAAGGGACAGCACAGGTGAAACAGAGGAACAAAGGAACACGTTCAGCTCGGCTTTTACATTAAAAATAAAACTAATTTCATGTTTAAAATGTTTTATCATACCTTCTTAATTTTTTATTTAACGAATTAAAAGATGTAGAAGAAGTACATGCCCAAAAATCAATTAAATCCCAAAATAATTCAAGATAGCCTACTTTTAAAAAAATCCATTCCAATGGATCTATTTACAAGGATAAGATGCTCAAATTGAATTACTTATTGAAGTGTTTTTATTTATTAATTATATCAAACCAAAGAGGTAGTATTTATTTGAGAGAAATATCTGCTGTGATGCTTCCATCATCACCTTTGTTTATAGATGTTGGAGATTGGCCTTTTTTCCAGTGTAGTCCTATTTCTCTGACCATGACTGGCTGGATGTGCTCTCTACATCCTCTGATATGGGAGTTGGTTTGGATCTCTTCTGCCTGGCTGTGTGTTTCGGGATGGGGCCACTTTTTACAGCTTTTTTTGGTTTTGTTGTTTTTTTATCTCTGCTCCTGTCTCCTTGAACCCCAGATGGCCGCTCACACTGAGCTGGTTCTGCTGGAGGTTTCTTCCTGTTAAAAGGGAGTTTTTCCTCTCCACTGTCGCTACAAGCATGCTTAGTGTGAGGGATTGCATTAGAGTCAATAGAAAGCTTTAAATCAATTTGACTGTATGATTTGGTGAACTGTAAAGTGCCTTGAGATGACACGTGTTGTGAATTGGTGCTATATAAATAAACTGAATTGAATTGTACTTATCACTTTTTTATACTATAGCCTGATGTAACAGTTAAATTGATGTACCTGCTCTAAACAATCAGTGGTTCCCTGCTCTATTCTCCACAGTAAGAGAAGCAGCCTCCCCTATAACCTCTCAATCCAGTTTAAAGGCAGCAGGTTAATGAATGCAGAGAACTACCTCTTGTTCTTTGCTAGAATAATATTGACCAACATCAAGCTTTGGTGAAGCAGTCATGGTTGGCGTCCGTGTTACGAATAAAACAAAACATAAGGACTTTGTTCAGACAAAAATTGGAATATATCAGCCTGCATCTAAAGTCTCCAATATTAGCATGCTGAAAGAAACATTCCACTTCTGTTTAAACTTAATGTAACCCATTGGTTAACAATAAAGGGGTAAGATGTTCTCAGAAATGTGTTTTCTATTTTTCCCTGTTTGAATATCACTTGATTAAGCCACTTCTACAACACTATAAAAGAAATAATAAATGAATGATACATGCTGATATCGTATCAGGTCAATATTAGTATTCAAGGCTGCAATAATGGTATTTTATTGGAAGTAAAGAAGTTGTATCAGGACGTCTCTAACAACAGCCTGACAGTTAAGAACCTCAGCGTGCGGCTAAGTACGACTTTTCATTTTTGTTGCAACATAGAAACTTACAAATCACGATTTTCACTATGTTTGTCATTTCGTGAAGTGCACCAGTCCTTCTTGCAGCAGCGAACCCCAGCTTTAGTTGCCAATCCTATATGGTGCTTTCAAGCTTGCAAGATTTCCTCCCTGCTTCCAAGTGATACATTTTTCCAAACAATAAACTTCTAGTTTCATAAGACCACATGACATGTCTTTAAAGTGTCAGGGGGTGATAGCAAACTGCTACCAGTCTTTTCATGTGTCTTATGGTGTAACGACTTAATCCTCAGAAAGTGGTATTGAAGGACTTTACTTTCAAGAAGCCAAAAACGTATAGAGGTCTTTTCACACATAAATGTCTTGTACAAAGAATCTATTTTCATATAGTTTCATATAATTGTATGAATGGATGAAGGGTGCGTCTATTTCCTTACTGAATGAAATACTGGATGAAAGAGACGGGGGACGTCAACACTAATCGCTTTTGTTTTTCTGTGTCACACAAGGAAGTCCTTTGATTGAGGTTCTGCAACCATGATGAGCCTCCATTTAAATCCTTTGAGCTAACGAACCAGAAGCTTACAGAGTCATGATATCATGATAGATTGTTTAAAGGAAGGTAATCTGAGTCTGTATTGGCTTCTGACTTTAAAAAAAATACCTTCAATCACTGTAATAATTTTGGCATTTAACAAATAGGGAGAAAAAAAACTTTGGTAATCTAAAAAAAAAAGGACAGATTAAGCCGATTTCATGTCAGACCCTGTGAAGAATTTTTTTTTTTTTTCAGTCTTTTTACACATACTTTTAGTGAATAGTAAGCTCTGTGTGGAAACTTCTTCATTCTATATTTGAACTATCCAGAGGTAGTAAATGACTACAGTATATTAATGACTCTATCCAATTTGCTGAGTTTCCCTAGATCCTTTTAACCTTTTGATCAATATGTCTGTATAATTTGATGTATAAATGATAAAATGTCTGTACTTTTGGCATTTCATCAAGTCCAAGAACCCCAAATAGCTTTACACTAAATTCAGACATTCACCCATTTATATCCATGCTGTACCCACACATAAATAAGGTGAACATGCATTCCTGTATGCAGGGAGACCCCAGGGCTGAAAGAAAAACCAGGACCTTCTTGCTGCAAGGCAACAATGCTGCAAATTAGGTCCAGTGCGGATTATCATCAAAGATAGAGTAGAAAATAAATCAAAATGAAATTATTACATAATTTTAAAGTTTTGAATTAATTAGAATAATTTGTGGAGATGTGATAACAAGCACATCCTCCATGATAAGCAGTGGATCAGTAGTTAGACATGTGAAGTCACCACTGGTCTGTGAATTTTTGATGGACAATGGTTAAAAAAAACAGTGAATAGGCAGCATAATACAGCCTCAGATAGTGTCTATCTGTATTATCTAAATAAAATCATTATATTCAGATCTGCTATTTTAGCAAATGCAATATCAATGCCCCCAGCCTCGTGCAACTAACCCCACTTTTGGGGTAAGTTTTAAAATTTCATGGCTGCTTTTTTCAGTGATGCTGTGGAGAAAAAAATAAGGAAGCATCCTTTGCTTACAGCCTATAAACCAACCATCATACATACTATAAAAGATCAGTAAGGTTTGTGATTTTAAAAGATTTCTTTGAGAGTGTGAATATCTATTCTAGGGAAGATTAGCAACTGTGTAAGAAGTTAAAGCTATCTGACTCTAACATAATGTTTTCACCTTTAAAAAAGGGTTGCTTCAATAAAAAAAAAAAATATATATATATATATATATATATATATATATATATATATAAATAAAACTAGTTCCTTGAACTGCACTCTGTTGGACCGAGATGTCTGATGTATTTCTAGGGATCTGCTGTAACCACTCCACCAGTTTGGGGGTCACTGCCCCGAGGGCCCCAGTGACCACAGGTACCACTGATGTCTTGACCCTCCTGGTTTTCTCCAGCTCTTCTCTGAGCCCCTGGTATTTCTCTAGTTTTTCATATTCTTTTTTCCCTGATGTTGCGGTCACTTGGCATTGCTATGTCAACCACAACAGCTTTCCTCTGTTTTTTGTTCACCACCAAAATGTCCGGTTGATTTACCATTACCATTCGATCTGTCTGTATGTGGAAGTCCCACAGGATCTTGGCTTGATCATTCTCTACCATGTTCCTGTACACTATTCCAGCCACTTGGTTAAGGCACTCCATATAAGCCCTCCCTGCCAGCATCTTGCCCCCTGCAGTTATGTGCTGGATTGTTGCACAGTCTGCACCTGGGGTCTTTTCTTGTCACTGACACTAATGAGCTGATATATATATATATATATATATATATATATATATTTTTTTTATCTTAACTTTAATTTTAAAAAAATTCAAAGAAAAAAAGTTTATATGAAAAAATATAGTTGAGACTCAAAAATGTTTCGATCATTGGCTTCTCTTTGATTAAAAATGTTTTCGTTTAAGAAGTGAAGTTTTTTTTAAGCTAGTTTTTTAATTGAAGTAACATAGTTAATTGATTGGACCATATAATGGGTCACTTTTATACATCAGTTGATAATCCGATCATTTGGTATTCAAAGCAACACTTTGTCGCCATCTGTCGGCGTCAGAGAATAATTACACAGACTGTTATATACCTATATATATTTTTTTTATCTCCTTCTTTTATTCTATTTTTATTATTGTTGTTGTTGTTTGAGCCAATAGTTAATAACTAACACGTAAAATAAAGAAATAATTATTTAAACAAAACTTTGTAAAATAGCAAACAAACCATTTGTCCGCCCTTCATAATAGTCCGGTTGGAAACAAAACCTGACATGGCACAGACACTTTGTTAAATGGGAGCTAATCCACTGCATGTAGTGTTTATGTTCATAGGAATGATTTCTTTTTTTATAAGCATAAAGTGCGTATCTACTTGCTCATAAATGGATGATGTTCCCTGTCTTCGTGTGTCTCCTTGTCAGACACAGCATTTCAGGTACTGTTCGGTTAAAGCGTCATGTAGCCATCTAAGCTAGCACGTAGTGTGTGTGTTTTGAATGTTGTTGGGTTTTTTCTACAGGTGCTATCTTCAGTCCAGAGGGTTTTTTGATAACCGTTTCAGTCTGGTTAAACAACCAGACGGGACAGTCCTCCTTCCCCTTTTAGCCTCCTCCCTCCCACAGCTGGAGCTTCAGGCTCTGAAAATGTCTTCAGGTTCAGATGTTTGTGATTTAACCTGGAGTCAGGTAAGCACCACCTTTGGTTTGACAGATTTTATTCTATCATCCTGCTCTATTCTTGTTTATAGGGTGATTAGATGGAGTAAGATAGACTGAAACGTTTTAAAACGTTAAAATAAACTAAATAAAATAACATAATTTGCTTGTTTTGATCTCTACTACTAAATATTTTCCAAACATTGTATCAGTTATCCTACATTATGCATGAAATAACCAGTTTAACAAGCTTTGTCACAGTCATAGTGGTTGAATAACAGGAGATGAAATTATGTTGCAGCAGAAATGCTTTAAGAAATTGTGCCTTGAGATCTATTAGTTAGGTAGATCCAGAAGCATTTATAGAGCTGTTACCAAGCTTCTCAATTTAATGTCTTCATTAAAGGATCAAAGAATCACCTTTATGCCACTATTTTAGTATACAGCCTAGATGTCATGTACTTTGTCGGCCTTGTAACCAGTCATGATCGTACTTTAACATCTGTACTTGCTGTAAAGTTGACACATTCATATTTATTTATAAACATTCCTCACACCTCCACTTCCGTGCTTCAATATAAATACTTTTCCGTTGCCATGCTTCCACAAAACAAGAGTTGCTTTCAATCCTCAGCCACTATGTTGATAGGTGCAGAGGCATTTCTCATGCTGGTAATAGTTTATCCTCTTCTTTATGAGTCATGCAGTCTTTCCTCATCACATTTAAGACATTAGATTTTTTGTGTCATTCAAAGATCAACTTTTTTTTTTTTTCCAAGAACGATGCTGATGCTGATTATTTTGACATGCTTTTTTCTTGGGTTGATTCTTTGGGGCGATATCAATTTTTCTTCCTCCATTTGTCTCATAACAAATGAAAGAATGACAGCAAATGTTATACAAGTCTCAATATAAACAACACTTCAAACAAAACATTACGGTAACAATCGATATGAAATGGAGGGAGTGGCAATGCATGCACTTCTTGTGATCTGAATGCACTGAATCAACAATCACATGCAAATATAGACCAAGAAAAAAAAAATGCTAAAATCATCCATTAAAAATAGAGATCAAATTTTTTTGGTCCAACTCTAGTTTCAATAGTAGATCATCTCCTCTTTATTAGACATGCAGCCTTGCATCATCACATTTTAGCCCCTTTCTTACTATAAAGACTATTCCCTGTATACCTCTTGGGTCTCATCTCTTTGTATAAATGGGCTGCAGAAGCATTTGTGGTAATGATGTGGTGCTTAAATCAACCAGCTTTAAAACCAACCAGAACTATAAACTATATAATTGCTCTGAAATCAGCTTTAACTGTGAAACGGTGGAGCAATTGCCACAACTGTCCTGGAAAAAGAACATTTATCAGAGAGCACCAGAACAGAGCTTAGAAATGGCAGCAGTTTCTTTGCACACAATGAAGCACAGGCATAACCTCGGCCTTTTACAAAAAGCAAAGCATTTTAAGATCATCCATGAAATTAGCTTTTGCAGTCAGTAAGACACAGCAGAGTTGTATCAAAAGGTTATCAAGAAAAACAGACACTTAAATTCTGCTGAGAAATTGTATTCAAGCCTAAAAAAGTATTTGAGATTAAAAAATCTTCACTGTACCTCATAGACATCTAGCCATAACAGTACTGCAGCAGAGAAGTTTGTGCAAAACAAATTTTCTCTTCCTAAAACTTTTAGCCATAACTGTAATAACAGCCGGTTTAAGATGTTTTTTGCCTTCAGCTGTCTCTCCCCTTCTTTCCTTAGTCTCCGCTAAAGCAAAGAAAAGAGAAGGGGAGAACAGGTGGAAATAAACTGGAGAGAACCCTTCAAGAGCTGTTGGAGCGTCAGGGTGAAAGATGGACAGAGGAGTTGAGGAGGGATCTTCCTCGGGGCTTTCAGAGGCACGGAGATCTCATCCTGCTGGGGGACAACTGTTTTACCCTGCCTTTATGGTCCAAAACAGGTACAAATTCTCAAATACCATAAAACTATTAAAAATAAATGCGAGGGACATTAATTTTCTTTGTCTCTCGCTGATCCAGGTGATCAGTTATGGACTGCAGTTACCAAAGCTCTGGGAGCACAGCGGCTGGCAAAGATGAGCCGAATATCCAAGGATGGATTTAGGACTCCTGTAGTAACGATGCTGCTAGGTGACAACAGCTGGGTCACACATGTAGACAATGGCATCAGGTGCGTACCGATAACCATTTGCTTTCTCTCCCATATTTAACTGACATGCCATTAATGAATACTCCATGTATGTTTCAGCTATGAGTTTGATGTTACCAAGTGCATGTTTTCAGCTGGGAACATCACAGAAAAGCTCCGTGTGGCTGGATTCGACTGCAGAGGAGAGACTGTAGTGGACTTGTATGCAGGTAGAGAAAGCTGATTTTTATTTATTTTTTTTCTGTTATAAATGTGGTTTCCAGAAGTCAACATCATCTCTATTCAGTTCATGTTAATTTAAGTCGCATTACAGGACTTTTAAAATGTACAGGTGCTGGTCATAAAATTAGAATATCATGAAAAAGTAGATTGATTTCAGTAATTCCATTTAAAAAGTGAAACTTGTATATTATATTCATACATTACATACAAACTCATATATTTCAGATGTTTATATTGTTTAATTTTGATGATTACAAATGACAACAAATGAAAATCTCAAATTCATCATATCAGAAAATTAGAATATTGTGAAAAGGTTCAAAATTGATGGCCCCTGGTGCCACACTCTAATCAGCTAATTAACTCAAACCACCTGCAAAAGCCTTTAAATGGTCTTTCAGTCTAGTTCTATAGGCTACACAATCATGGGGAAGACTGCTGACTTGACAGTTGTCCAAAAGACGACCATCGACACCTTGCACAAGGAGGGCAAGACACAAAAGGTCATCGCTAAAGAGGCTGGCTGTTCACAGAGCTCAGTGTCCAAGCACATTAATAGAGAGGCGAAGGGAAGGAAAAGATGTGGTCGAAAAAAGTGTACAAGCAAGAGAGATAACCGCACCCTGGAGAGGATTGTGAAACAAAACCCATTCAAAAATGTGGGGGAGATTCACAAAGAGTGGACTGCAGCTGGAGTGAGTGCTTCAAGAACCACCACACACAGACGTATGAAAGACATGGGTTTCTGCTGTCGCATTCCTTGTGTCAAGCCACTCTTGAACCACAGACAGCGTCAGAAGCGTCTTGCCTGGGCTAAAGAGAAACAGGACTGGACTGCTGGTGAGTGGTCCAAAGTCATGTTCTCTGATGAAAGTAAATTTTGCATTTCCTTTGGAAATCAAGGTCCCAGAGTCTGGAGGAAAAGAAGAGAGGCACTTCATCCACGTTGCTTGAAGTCCAGTGTAAAGTTTCCACAGTCAGTGATGGTTTGGGGTGCCATGTCATCTGCTGGTGTTGGTCCATTGTGTTTTCTGAAGTCCAGGGTCAACGCAGCCACATACCAGGAAGTTTTAGAGCACTTCATGCTTCCTGCAGCTGACCAACTTTTTGGAGATGCAGATTTCATTTTCCAACAGGACTTGGCACCTGCACACAGTGCCAAAGCTACCAGTACCTGGTTGAAGGACCATGGTATCCCTGTTCTTAATTGGCCAGCAAACTCTCCTGACCTTAACCCCATAGAAAATCTATGGGGTATTGTGAAGAAGAAGATGCAATACACCAGACCCAACAATTCAGAAGAGCTAAAAGCCACTATTAGAGCAACCTGGGCTATCATAACACCTGAGCAGTGCCACAGACTGATCGACTCCATGCCACGCCGCATTGCTGCAGTAATACAGGCCAAAGGAGGCCCAACTAAATACTGAGTGCTGTACATGCTCATACTTTTCATGTTCATACTTTTCAGTTGGCCAACATTTCTATAAATCCTTTGTTTTTATTGGTCTTCAGTAATATTCTAATTTTCTGATATTATGAATTTGAGATGTTCATTTGTTGTCATTTGTAATCATCAAAATTAAACAAAATAAACATCTGAAATATATGAGTTTGTATGTAATGTATGAATATAATATACAAGTTTCACTTTTTAAATGGAATTACTGAAATCAATCTACTTTTTCATGATATTCTAATTTTATGACCAGCACCTGTATAAGCCAGTAGCTCATTCCATCTGCATACACATTTTTATTTTTATGTTTAATGCATTGATATCACTCAATTTGTTTGTTTTAAAAAAAAATATTCTGTGTATATTTATCATAGCTGCACATGTGACATCAAACAATGGAGGCGAGCATGTTTGGACCTCCCAGTGGAGTTATAAAATTAATGAAGACAAGACCTAGATGTTTGATAAAGTGCAAAGAAATATCTGATTCCAAGAGGGTTAAAACTTAAATTGTGCTTTGAGTACAGTATGAATGTTGGTGTGCAGTGAAACAGCAGAGGGTCGATATTGGCAAAAAAATGCGTATCGGCAAAGCATGTAAAATGCCGATCCAGTTTAAAAAAAAAAAAATTCCGGTCCGTATTTTCCAGTTTCGCCGATTGAAACGATCCATTCCACTATTTTGCGCCAGTGTTCCCCTGTTTTGCATTTTTATTAAAACTTACAGTAATACTTGCACCTTTAACTGTTTACGGTTTTACTGCTCACTGTGCAATTTCAGATTGCTATTCATAATTTTGTCCAGTTTGTGTTTATCTCTTAATAAACAGGTAAGTTTGTTGTTACCAAGCATTGTGTTTTATTCAATCTCACCTAATTCAGCTGGCTAGATGTTATCAAGAGTACTAAAACCCTTTTCAACATGAGTCTTACAACTAAGGCTAAATACTTTAACTTAAACTTAAATACATGCTCGGATAGGCTGGTATCGGCCAGTATCGGTATCGGATCGGAAGTCCAAAAACAATATCGGTATCGGATCTGAAGTGCAAAAACCTGGATCGGGACATCTCTAGGCAGCACTATGTTACCACCATGCAATGAAATAAACAGAGCAGGGAAACAGTTTTCTGTCACTGCTTTCAGATTCAAGATCAGATTAGATTCAGGTCTCATCAATGGGCATCACAGTAATTAGATGTGAAGAAGACATGTCTAATTGAAAATGAAATGCAATCAGGGAAGATTAATGTGGAAGCACTTTCACAAGACAGAAACCAAATATCTAAGCAAATAAGTCTATTACCTTATTCGCCCGAATATAAGACTAAGTTGTTGTTTTTTTTTTTTTTATATGGGGTTGTCTTATTAACGGGGTCTAACCAATTATGCAGGCTGAGGATTGTCTGGGGTCGCTACATGAATGCAACACCAGAGGGCGCCAATTTTTTGTTAAGCCATTGACCTCACTCTGGCTAAGGTCATCTTTCTATCACAACAGAGAAGAGGCGACAAGGATGCTACAACTAGAGAGTCGCTGCCCAGAAATTAGTGGATCAAAAAAAGTTTGCAGCAATTGAGGCAGATTTATGACACCGATTTTAAAATAATGGTGGTCGACGCAGCGGAGGCATCAGCCAACTGTTGGCAGCGAAGAAATATGGATTTATAGAATACACTGTCAGAAGATGGTGCATTCAAAAAAAACAGAAAAATGTGAACAGCAAAAGAAAAGCGAATAAAAAAATTGCAGAGTGAGAGTAGGAGTGACGGCGAGCGCAGCGAGGCCGAGGACGTCTGTGAGGAAAAGCCTCATGCAGGTTTTTGATGCATTCCATGAGCAAAGTTCAGATTGCATCGAGTTGAGGTGTTGTAAGTTTCAATTAAATGTGTCATTACTGTTTTTTTTGTTCTTTTTATTGTTTAATTTCACATATCTTTCAATGCAATATTAATATCAATGATTTGTTTTAGATCTTGAATATAAAATAGTTTTTTTTTTTTTCTTTTTGGACGACAAAAAGGGTCGTCCTACATTCAGGTCAGTACGGTAATTAGCATTTATTTGAGTGTATTCACAGCTGCTGATGTGCCCCAGAAGAAGAAAAATGTAGATTGGCCATGAAGTAAAACAGGAAGTGTGAGATAACAGGAAGGATTTGTGCAAAGGAAGCGGTCATGTCTGAACTTATAGTAAATACCACAACTAAGATCATGTCAGGTCATGATAAAAATCCAACTTAAAGAGTCAAAACTTTGACAAAAAAACACAGTAAAAGAAGTTTCCATGGAGACCCTTTAAAAATGGAACTTATTCGTACTGTTTAACAAACTACTGTATAAGGTTTCTCTTCCCGCTGTTATATCCTCCATGATATTTACATTTTGGCACCCCTGCTAGATATGTGTGTAAAAAAATTAAATAAAAGGCTGTTATGGAGAATTTGTAATCCCGAAATGCTCCTCATTGCTTCAGCAAGCTTTTGAGATCTTATAATATTGATAATATTCTCCTGACTCCATGTGCGGGAAAATAAACCTGGTCACTCATCCTGCTTTACTGGTTTTAAACCTTTTATTATTACTCTGACTGTAGATAAGGATGACAGATGAGATTAACTTTAATTTAATAACCTGTTCTCTTGTCTTTGCCATTTTGAAAAGTGGCTGAAAGAAATTGGTCTATTTCCCATTATTCTAATACTTCGAAGGAATATCGATACCGATACTCAGGAAAATATTTGATACTCGATACCATTTTCGATACCACAAGACCCCAAAATTTAAAGGAAATATTTTTATTAATAAATAAATACAATAAACAATAAGAACAATACTTTGAGGTCGTATGCCATGCACAATATTAAGCAAGCTTGATTAAAAAACTAACAAAATTAACTTAAGTGTTCCTTCCTTTGCTATGCTTTACACACATAACAATGACACTAGCTAAACCAGTTAACAAACCAAAATAAATGCTGTATTCTGCGAGGGAAGAGCATACCTTGGGTTTAGCTGCTTAATAAGTTGTTGGAACCCACGTTTCTCCACAGTTAAAAAGGACATACATATGTACTCTGCCACAGCTCTGTTTATTTTTTTTAGCTTCTGGGGACTTGGCATCATATTTCCGATGTTGGTCAAACATAGATGGCAGAGTCAGCTATGTTTGATGGTGTTTAGATGCAGGTCTACTTCTCTCTGCTTCATTCTGTGACTTTAAGAGAGAACAAACACTTTTCAGTGGTTTCGATACTTTTGAAAATGAGTATCGTATCCAGATACAACATTTTACTGTCGATACTTTGAGTATCAATACTTTTGACAATTGTAATGGAGGTAGTATAAGAAACCTCCATTACAATTTTTCCTATAAAAAATATTGGGGGATCTGATGCTGTTTCCACCATCAATTTCTTCCTAAAACTCACACACATGCACACAATATAAATATTATATTACATTTGTTTATACCTTCAGCCTATTTGCACAAATATAGCCAGAACATTTTAAGTAGAAAATCAAACGTTTTTATTATGTCTTGGTTTAGTTAAAGCTCTGATAAACTGCAGTTTGTCAGTCAAGTGTTTAAAATGCAGAATTTGAAATTTGATGCTTGAAATTGTAGAAGTAACTATTAGATAACTAAATATGAAATATATTTAAAGAATATTATGAAGGGGTAGGATAAAAATGTAACCACGTACCTCAGGCATAATGGTACATACACTCAAAAAAATATATAAACGCAACACTTTTGGTTTTTGCTCCCACTTTTTATGGTCATATCAGATACTGACTGGTTGTCCCCCCCCCCCCCCATAAAACAAAACTTCACTTTTCAGAGTGAACTTTTATTATGGGCAATCTAAGGCTACGTTCACACTGCAGGCGTTGATGCTCGATTCTGGTTTTTTTGTGAAATCCGATATTTTTTGTGTTGCCGTTCACATTTCCAAATATATGCGACTTGTATGTGATCTGTGTGAACGGCAGTCCTACAACGCAAGTGTCCAGCATGTGCAGTAGAGGACGCAATGACGTCACAGGCCAGCGTGCTTGAAAAGATTGGATTTGTATCCGATTCAAGACCACATAGCCAAGTGGCCTGGGTCGCACTGGAAAAAAATCAGATCTGTGTTGTTCAGACTGCCATGAAAAGATCAGACACAGGTCGCATACGGGCCAAGAAATCGGATTTGGGTCACTTCAGGCTGCAGTGTGAACGTAGCCTAAGGCACAGATGTGCACTAATCATGGTGTCTAATTAGCATCTTGATATGGCACACCTGTGAGGTAGGATGGATTAACTCAGCAAAGGAGAACTGCTCACTATCACAGATTTAGAGTGGTTTGCGAACAATATGATGATTTTATTGTTTTTGTGGAAAAAGTTGTAGATCTTTGAGTTCATCGCATGAAAAATGGGAGGAAAACAAAAAGTGATGCGTTTGTATTTTTGTTGAGTGTAAATACTGAAAGGATTGCAATGATTTATTTATGTAAAGTCTAAAGGTTATTGCTTGAAACGAGACCTTGTTAGCACCTACTGTTTGTTCTTCAAAGAGTTTTGTCGTTGGAAAGCTTTATTCTTTTTATTTTAATGCTGATTTGTCAAAAAAAAAATAGGCAACAAAAGATTAAATAAAATAAAAAATTTAATCTTTCTGCACTACATGACATTTAGACTGAAATTAAATTTTTCTGAGTTTTTAAACCTACTCATTTCACTCCTGGGTAATTATTTCATTTTACCTCCTTTCAGGTATTGGATACTTCACCCTCCCATATCTGGTGCATGCGAAGGCCAGTCATGTCCACGCCTGTGAGTGGAACCCTGACGCCGTTGCTGCTTTACAGAAAAACCTTAAAGTAAACGGGGTATCAGACCGCTGCACCATTCATCAAGGAGACAACCGTCAAGTAATATACCTTCATTTGTTTCTTATTTTTTCCTTTCGCTCTAATAATTTTCTTCAAGGTAGAGAAAACTTTACAGCTCAGTAACTCCCTCTAATTGTAATTTTAGAGAAGTTCACCGTGACTGATAAGGAAAATAAGATAAAAATCTATAAGAAAAACATGTATACAATTATGATTGTTTTTGTTGTTGTTGTTTTTTTATTTTGCCTCTTGGCCTTTGGAGAGAACTCCCTGGGTCAGAGTTCAAATCCAGAGGGACTGCAAATTGAAATATGCCCTCCGATACATGGATTACTCCATCCTCACACCATATTGTGTGACTAATGATTATTTAAGAATGAAAACTTTGATTGTTATGTTTCAGGCTTTCTCAACATGTTTTCTGAACTCCAATTAGTTTGAAGGGATGTTTTCAATTCAAATTGCAGTTTGTCATCGCTTAGGTCTAAATTTTGAAATGTTGCCTAAAACCTTCTTCATATCCCAGGTCCAGCTGTGCAATATGGCCGACCGTGTAAACTTGGGTCTAATTCCGAGCTCTGAGGACGGCTGGCCCATCGCATGTCGGCTGCTGAAGAAGACAACTGGCGGCATTTTACACATTCACCAGAACGTCACCTCTCCGATACAGAGGGCTGCTGTCAGAGACGGTACTCCTCAGGTTTCTCCAAAGAAAGCTGACAGAGAGGTGTGGCAGGCCTGGGCTGATGATACTGCAAACAGAATAGCTTCCCTTCTGCAGGATCTCTGTGGTGCACCGTGGCTAATAAATATCCAGCACATAGAGCATGTGAAATCTTATGCACCTCATTTGAACCATGTTGTGCTGGATTTGGACTGCAGACCATCCTGAATGAATGGCTGAAAAAGCTGTACTTCCTTTTACTCAAGGGTATCCTGTGAAAACTAAGTCTAATTACCCTGACTCTGGAGGACTTGGGAAACACATTCTTTCAGCTCAAACAAGCTCCTCTTAAGGAAAGCTTATGTGTTATATTGATGTTGCTGAAAGGCTTCGTTTAAAGACACATCGTTGTTGGAATACTCCCCAAATCTTCTGCAAATACCTGATGGCTGTTTAGAACTAGACGTGAAGATCTGCTTAAAACTCAACTGGATTATTAAAATAGTTTTCTTGTTTGTGGATGTTTTGAATTCTCTTCAGGTATCATTTTTAATACTCTTGAGGTCAAAAGAAAGTTTCATCAAAAGGAAAGAAGAATGAGTGAAGATTTCAGAGAGCAGCCTTCAAGTTTCGTTGGAGTGGATATAATTTGAATCATATGGTGTACCCTTCAAAATAATCCTATCTGAGCATGGTCGAGTAGATAATGAAAGATTTACTCCCTAAAAAGGATTTCTCTTCTCTGTGGTTAAGGTTTGTCTGCTAAAGCACAAAGTCAGGATTGTTACAAAGGAACAATGAAGCATGGACAACATTCTGAACATATACGGTTTCAGTCAGAAATGCTGCTACATTCTTCCTTTCCATGAATGTCATTATTTTGGCCTTAAATGCAGCATTCAGCAAATGTTTATAAAATATGTGTAGTGGGGAAAAAGGTATTAAACTATGCAGTCCAGTTAAATAAAGGAGATAGGTGTTAATTCACTCAGTCAGGACATTAACAAGATGGCATCATCTCCAGCTCTGCTCTGACTATATAAGGTTTGTTTCACTACCTGCAGGAAGGCTGTGAAGGTCTCCACATACCGTTACTCAAATTGCCTACAGACATTTTAAAAAAACATAAAATGTTATGAAATAAACCCTGAGAAACAGTCTAGCTTGTTATGAAAATGATTATTTTTATCCCTAATAGGATAAACAACCCCTCTCCCTTAGACACCTTGGTGCCTTGCAGCTCCGAGGCCTGAATGGATAAAAGTCATTGAAATGAAAGATTTCATCTATGGATTTTCTCTGGTCTTTACAGGGTTAGAATTAAACATACAAAATGAAATATAAATGCTTGGTTAAATGTGCTCCATGACCAGACACTACTTCTAATAATCATACATTTTCTGTCATATTGCTCTCCAAGGTATTAAACAACCCGTCTCGTTTCGAAATGGTCAACTTTCTTTGAATTAATTGTTATTTGACGCCCACTTGGCTTTTAACCAAAGTCCATTTTCCATAAGAGTTTGTGGGATTCTTTATATTCACATATTTAGCAATTCTAAATGTAGTTTTAATCCATGTTGGAGGTCATTGTTCTGTTGGTACTCTCTATTGTGTCACTCAATTTACTGAGTGAGCCAATTTCCTCATACCTGTTTTTTTTTTTTACCTCATAGACTAGTCTGAAATTAATGTTTAATAAAAAAAACTGATTTAAACCAAAAAAAGAATTTCCTGGAGAAGCTGGGCTTTATCTTTAAAGGGTGTCATCCCCACTTATAGGTTGTCATAAGAAGCTATGACCAATAGTCTGATCAGAATACAGTTTTTAATTGAATGAATGTGGCTTTAAACCAGTGAAAATTGAAATAAAAGAAACCCTTGGCATGATGCTTCCACTACTGTACCTCACTGTTGGTATATATTGTTATTTGGCACAAGAGCGTCGCCTGGATATGATTTTTCTCATCCAAAAAGTTTATTCTTTCTCATATGACGATGATAGTTTTCCGCACAGCTCCAAATGAGCTCTTCCAGTGACGGGATTTTCTATAATAATACGGAACAAAAAAGGAAAAAAAAATTACACAATGTGCATGTCAGGGTATTTGTAAACAAATGCTTTAGACCTTGTATAACATTTGTGTCTATGTCAACCTCACAATTTCTGCAAATATATTTTCAATAACCATATATATTCAGTCACACACAGCCTAATTTAAATAATTCTAAAACGGAGGTCACATTTTGGACTTCATGTTTTTGAGGGATTGCAGATTGTTATAGATGCCACCTAAATTTCCCTCTGACCCTTTTTAATTTAAAACTATACAGTCATGTTTCTAAAAGGCTTAGAATATGTAATTTCATAGAAAAGGGTATTTTACTGATTTATATGCAGAAGCATAACTTGTGTTTTTTTATTACTTTTATACTTAAAAAGTGATGCAAAGGGGTGGTGGTGATGCGTCACCTTTCATCAACACTATGTTTAAGTACTGAGGAGTTTTCTACCATGATTACTGATCTGGGATTTCAGTAACAGTCCTGGGTTTAATCTGGCAACTTCTATATTTTATTAAATAAAAATATGTTTTCTGTGGAAAGCTGGTCTCTTTTAGTTTATCCCATAAAGACTTAGTTATATAGTAGATCAATCTGATTTTTAATCATGTAAAATTACATTTTGCAACTACGTAATCATAAGTTTACCAGAATTGTTTAATGTTGGCAGGGTTGGACATGAAAGAATTGTGTTAAAGTAATTAAATATGTTTAAGTAGATGCAAAACATGCATAAATTAATGTATTTAAAATTACTGCTGTTTAACTGTGACAGACTTTTCTTATCCTGACTTCACCTCGACTCATCTTACTCTCTCATTGGGGGTTTTTCTTCTCAAATCCTTTTGTTTAATTTAAGGATCAGCTGATGTTTTTTAATACTTCAAATTAAAAATACATTTTAGCAAGATAAAAAAAAATGGAATTACACATCTCTAAAGGTGAATTAATATATTACCAAATAATTTTGTTGGGAAGGGGAATTTTTGGCATTTGATTTTTGTACTTCAATAAATACTAAACTGAGTATTTAAATTTTTTTTTTTCTTTTTTTTTTCAAACTGAAATTAGGATTATCTCTGAGACTCATAATTAGTAGATTGTTGGCCTAATGATTAGAGCAGTGCTTTTGTGCTCTGAGAAGGTTCCAAGTACCTGGTTCGATCTTCTCAGGCTGCCACTCTCTCTGAATAAGACCCTTAACCCCCACTGCTCCCCGGGCGCTGCACAATGGCAGCCCACTGCTCCCCAATAGGATGGGTTAAATGTAGAGAGTGAATTTCCCCAATAAGGGGAAAATAATAGGATTTACATTTACATAACATTTTAAAAGAGAAGCATAATGCTTTGATTTTTTACCTCTAAGCCCACTTCATCATCAGACAGGTAGCAGAGACAGGGATCAGTTGCAACACTTTTTACATGTTACATATGTACTATATGATGAACTTTCATCTATCTGTTAATATTTCAAAGCAAATTTTATATAAGGTAATTTTTTTTACAATTTGGAACTATATGCAAAGAGTCAGGCATTTTGTTGCTAGAATTTCTATTCCTAGCATATGCAATACAAACAGTAAATATAGTTTTTTACTTTTATGTTGAAACATAAGCATATGGAAAAGTATTACTTCTGAACAAATGTGTTATTTTGTCATGTTATTTCTGTTTTTGATTCTATAATTTCAAATACCAGCCTTTGCACACAACTGTCTGTTAACATTTTAATCATTACATCAGTACTTAGGGTAACCATTTTACAAAAGTACTTTTTTACTTAAGTAAAACAAAAGAGTTGTAGTGCTACTTTTTCTTGAAAAATGGAACAATATGTGAGCTTGATAACTTTAATTTTGTCCAATTTTAATGCATGCATTCATTATGAAAACCCAAGCTATCAGAAAACTGGACTTCTAGAACTATTTTGGAAAAACACAACAATCAATCAAAACTTTCATCATACAACATTATCTACTTAGGTATGGGAACTAAATATTTGCATCAGATATGGACATGTTTACAGTAGTGGATATTTGAAAATAGCAGCAACATCAGATATGTGCAAAATGACAGCAGCATGTTATTTAACCGACTAAGACAGAAAATGTGCAAAATTAGCAATATAATGTGCAGCAGGAGAGTCTCTGGCATCCCCCTTCTTAAAAATCATCCCCCCTATACCATCCCCTCTGACATTTTATTACTGAATGTGTAAAATTTGTACTATATATTAACAGTAATGCAAATAATATTACCCTTTCAACATTCGGTGGGCTGTGGGCTTACAAGTAGCCTATGCAAAATAATTAACATCAAAGAAGAGTCCTACCATGACTATGAAGCTGATCCCAGAGGGAAATAAGTCCATAACTATTTAGGGGCAGTGACAGTCATGCCAGTCCAGGGACTGACTGCAGTTCTACTGTAAGATGCCTTGGTGAAGGTCAATGACCTGACATGAAACAACCAGACCATGCATATTGCTTTAGGAAATTACTTTAAACATTGTCCACTTTTTAGGACTGTTCCCAGCTTTAGGGACTTTCCTTTCAGTGATTGGGAGAAAAGCGGAGAACTGCTCTAAGAGGTGACATGAGGAAATAAAGGTTAAATAGTTTTCCACATTCAGCCTTCGTTTCTGTGGTAAACGGAGCAAAAAAAAAAAAAAAAAAAAAAGAAAAGAAAAAGAAACGCACCTGTCATGGAAAACCTAGAGGCGCTCCAACCTGAGAGCCGCAAACTTCTCCTTCATCTTCCGGGCGGATCAGGGCAGGGAGGAAAGGAAAGGAAAGGAGTAATTATGTAGAGGTGCGGTCAGGATACTGGTGGTTAAACGGTGAGTGAAGCTCGCAGCTGCAGGACTGTCTGACTGCTAATCTCATTATGTTGCATTTAAAGCCGTTTTTTTGGATTTCCTGTCGCCGTCTCCCTTAGCAACCAGAGCCCGCGCGGACAGCGGACTGATCTACTTTCACCAACAGGTGTGAGACATTATTTTACTAATTAAATTAACTTTACGGTTATTTTTGAACGTTTTGTTGTGACCTCGTTGCTTTTCGGTTTTCTAAACTACTAGCTATCATTTAAAGAGTTATTTTTGTAACTCTAACGCTAACCGTGGGCTTCATAAACAGGTCATGAAGTTTTAGATGTTTATCCTAAACACGCAGGGTTTTTAAAGGTTTAATCACTTCCGTTTGTTTTTATTTGTGTTTATTTATATAAGCCGGTAGATGTATTGGCCTCACATTTACGACTTAGTAAATATCGATAAAGTCTATTAACATTGTCGGTCATTTTTCAGTTTTAATCCGCAGTTTCTGAAAGCGTCACAAGTTGCTCTTCAGGCACTGTTTAACTGCTGGTATTTAAAGTATGAGGAACAAAGGCGTCTACCTTTTGGAAATGAAGACAAAATAAGAACTCGTTTCCTTTTATTTCATAAGAGTTTAATTGGAGCTGCTATTTTTTGTTAAGTTTAAACAAATAGTTTAGTTGGTGAACTCCACCCTGCTGTCTGTGTTCTTACAGGGTGGGAACCCACCATGATGGTCAGGTTCATGTTGTTTTAACCTTTACTAGTCAAAACATTTAATCTAAAATAGAAGATGCCTGTTGGATCTTAATCCCCCCCCCCTTTTATTTATTTTAATCTCTGACCCCCTTTTCTGACCAAAGCCTGTCATGGGAAAATCAGTTTAGGGAAGATCAAAGATTATTGAGACTACTTGTATATTTTGAAAAGTTATGAAGTTATCTTCCATAACCATTTTTTCTGTTTTTTTAATAAAGAACTACTTCCTGCTGAGATAAATTACACAGGTTCTGTCAATCTTTCTTTTAAATACTGCAGAAACTAAGTTGTGTGTTTCTTTTCCTCAGGGTCTGTGTATTGATGCACCATCCATAGTCCTTAAGGTCGAGCCAGTTCACCTGAGCTGACCCTTCTTGGTTAACAACACAATGCCGGAGGCTCCAGATATGATCAACCTGGGATTTCTGTCCGATACGGAGAGGGAGCTAATCCTGGAAGTGCTGCGACGGGATGAGGAGCTGAGGAGGGTGGAAGAGCAGCGAGTAAAGTGAGAAAAGAAATCAATGAAGATGGAAGTATTTATCAGTAAAGTTGCTTGTGTTAACTCAGTCTTTGCGTTGTAGAGAAAATATTCATTCATTTTTTTCACAATCCTCTTTTATAAGACAAAGCATTCTTTCAAATATGGAAAAAGTTTATTTCTATTGCCTTCCCAACAACACAAATTGGATGTGGAAGATTAACTTTGCATTTTGTTTTCCTGCTTATAAGAACACTTTTTTTTATTTCCGGGATGTAATGCTTTTTAAAACCCTGATAGTTCAGTTTATTCAAGGTGCACAATAAACCTTAGTTTCTGATATGCAGGAATTTGGATCCAAGCTGTTTATGTTTGTTTTTATTTAATCTCAGGAAGCTAAAGGCAGAGTTGTCAGAAGTCAGAAGGAAAGGGGCAAAGCGTGGCAGTGGAAAGTACAGTGAGCGCATCTGTGGCCGATGCCTGGAGCCTCTGAGTCGTCTAACCATTTTTCCCAACCAGTGTAAAATATGCAAGCACTATGTGTGCAAAAACTGCCAGACCTCCCTGCCCAGTGGATCCTGGCTCTGCAGTGTGTGTGCCAAAGAAACGTAAGATCTATTTTGTCCATGCTGTCCTTTATCCTTGCATATTTGCATCCGTTACTGAATTTATTAAAAAAAATAAATTAACCTTAATCCTGTCTGTTAGTTGGTATGAAAGAAAATCAGTAATAGGACCACCTTACATAGGTGTGCATTACAATGTCTGTAAATGTAATGTGAATTTAATGTTTAAAGTAGACGCCTGCGTGGAACGTCTGTCTGTAGAGAAAAATATGTATTGGAATGCAGTGTGGCTTGTGAAAACATGATAGCTACCCATTTATCATTGCCACCACTCAGCCACAGTGCAGGGAAAGTTAAACTGTAGAGCAACTACACAAAGACTAATATTAAGGTGCACTATGACCTAACTGGGTCAAATGAAAGTACAGTTTCAATATTTACTAACCATTAATCATGCCTGAAGGGGGGGAAAAAGCCAATCATCCATCATCTGGGGTATTAATCTGTTTTGTAGTGTATGTATTTATGTGTTAAAAAAAAAAGCTAAAACATTTTGGTTAACCTTTCTGTAATTTTACAGATCTTTTATTTAAAGAAAGCAACAGTTTGAGCTTAGAAACCAACTGTGGCTCTTGTTTAGTTCTGGGAACCTAAATAGTTCCTGCCTGATCCAGAACTGTGTTTCAGGCCAATACCATCTCATGTATTCTTTTACAGGGTAGCCATGGCAGGGTGTGATAGGATCCATTTTCTTGGTGTTGGTTAGGATGCTGGTACCACGTTTTTATTGATGTTTTTTTAAACAAATACCTGTCTGGAAATTATCTATTATACACAGGCTTTTTAATCGGAGCAAAAGAGTGATTTAAGTTTTATTGTTTATTCCTGCTGGCATGTATTCAATTATATGTTA